AATCGGTGGTGCATTCAAACAAATCGGTTTCAAAAATTACTTCGAAAGTAGAGCTCCAGTATACAAAGTATCCTGTTACATTTGTTTTCAGAAGGCTTTTATGCAACAAATGCTATGTTCGGCTTGTATTCACCAACGGAATCAGTGGCAAAGCTAGCCACCTTTGGCCACCGTTAACCACCGGTGGCACTGTGTTTACTGGGATGGTATCAATCTAGACTACTTGCACTGTCAATGTTTCCTAGTTTTGAAACTCGGTAGAACGCTGCATTGCTATCTAGTACTCGAGACAAATGACGCATGTGACGAGTACCAGCGAAAATAATCGCAGAAATTTTGCCACTCGTAAGAGGAAAATGTAGCGCCTGACTCGGCACACACTTCCTGAGATAGGTAGTCAGAAGCTTTAGATTTCTAGTTATTTTGTTTCTCATCCCTCTCCTCTATGATGACGGGCGCCCTTAGAGGTAATGCATATTACAGTTTCTTGTTTTCATTTGGCCCTTGGATGGCTGTTCACTTGGATTACAGCGACAATTGGAGTTCCGATTTTTCTTGCGTTCGTAATGTTATTCTGAACATCCAGGAGACCTTGCGTCACACGTCCCGAGCCAACGTTGCGTAAACAGGCGTTGTGTCTTACATCGTTGGCGTGTGATTACCTCAAGTGTTGTAATTCTTAGTGTCGTTTGTTAAATAGTCCTCAGTATCCTGTTTTCTGCGGCAAAATGGCGTCTTCTTGTTATATCCTTCAAGATGTGTAACCAAACAGACCTTTGATAATGTTTATCTTGTAAGTTGTTCACCACATTCCACAACTTTAGTCCCTTAGTAAAATGCAAGTATAATGTGAAGGGATTGTGGAGAGGCAGAGTGAAGCCAGTTCTGACTAAGAGTTGTTCAAGGACAGATTCTGGCTGGACATAAGCCACAATAAGTGCCAGTTTTGCGCAGGCGTCCCAGTTTCTTGTTCTCTGAGTTATTTGGCTAATAAATGCCTCTAAGCATTCACAAAATGATTTTTTATCCACGACTTTCAAAGAGGCAATATTATTTTGTCCAGAATAGTGCCCTGCCGATAAATTTCAGCGAGGTGTCCTGTGAGGGTGTTGAAAAATTCAGGGTCAAACTACTGGTTTTAGCAATGCCTGGAAAGAAAACGATTAGCTTAATTTTTGATAAATTGCGTCAACACCATATGTTTTCTTCTAACCATTTGTGTCATCATAATCAGTATTAGCTGTAAAAGCCGGGCACTTGCCGTACGGTGCTTCTAGCTAGCACAGGTACGTTCATCGATGATTTGGGGATGTAGGAGTATATAGCCGCTTACTAAAGGTGGTAGTTAATGTAACGGAAGCGCAAACACAGCTTTCTTGTTGAAATGTTTATTGGGAAAATTAGGGGGTGGGAGCTGCATATTGAGTGCTACAGGTTGGATTCAGCAGCGAAGTTGAGGGCGCGACTGGGACATATTTGACAATCTCGCTAACCGCTGGTGTGTTCCTGGTCCCAGTACAAGAAGAGAGCATTGACCAGTGTAGCTGCTCCATGCTTCTCTGCAAGGTCATTGATTGACCTCGTCTTCTTCGTCTCCACCTTTCGCGTGGTTGTGCAAAAGTAGTACTTCGAGAAAATAGGTTGGCTGACATACAGAGCACGTGATAGAGCTGGTGCAACCTATTAAACGCAATCAGTTCATACACCACGGGCGAGCCATCTCTTCCTAGAATCGTTTGACGTAATTCAGTACTGCTGGCGAGGTGCTCCTAGCAGAATCTAGCAATGCTACAAAGATATCGGTGGTCAAACACTGACAGCGACCAGATTTCATATCCATATAGTAATATGGAGTGCAACGCAGCATTGTAAATTCGACCCTTGATGTTGCGTCTATGCCATAGGTGACGCAGGTTTACAAAAACTGCTCTGATCTTCCCAATCCGGATGAAAATATCATCTTTTGCGATACCACCTGGAGTGAAACAGCCGCCCAAGTAAACAAATTTGTCTACTAACTCAATCGTTTCATCCGCAAGTATGAAGCTAGGTTTCGAGCCCACCAAGTCCTTCAGTAGCACTTTACACTTTGCCGGTGTGAACTGCATGCAAACCCCTGAGGCAGAATTTTTATATTATTTATTATTGTTTGCATCACCGCGGGTTCAGATCTCAGAAGTGCTATGTCGTCTGTGTACTCGATATCTGTGAGCGAACGCCCAGGTAACGCTTTGATCACACAGGCATTAGAGGCTGGTCGCGAGTCTCTAATGATCTTATCAATGACGAAAGTGAAGGAAAGGGATAAACAAAGACAGCTCTGTCTAATGACATGTAATGTGGTGAACTCAGAAGAGAGTTGCACGCAGATCTTCGTAAGGCAGCGAAAGTTGGCGTACAGCGCCTTAGGAAGGATCTTGCATTTATGGAAACATATTTGCTCCACAAACGCAGCCATAGTTTAATCTTTTGGCATTCCGTAGTAATATGTGCATGTCACCGGCATAGAGGTTTACAGGTATTTTAATGGACAAAGTGTTTTTTAAGGTTCTGGTAGTTTGGGTTCCACACAGGTCACTTTAATGTTATTAGTTTCATACTTTTTCTGGTTTACTTCGCACGTCATTTACGGTTTCGAGATAGGCCTTTTACTTGACGCTTGTCGCCACTGACTTGACATTTGAAGCCGCTATCTAGAAGGCCGAATTCGTGCTTCTTTAGGTGTCCTGTACCCCCTATTTTGGAGGTCAACTCATCGGTTTTATTTTTTTGAAGGTTTCCTTCATGCCGCATTTACTACCGGATATGAGAATTTAATAGATACCAGTAACAACGAAACAATACAGTACACGACACGAGTTCAAACTCAGAGAGCTTTTTTCGGTTACGTATGACTGTGCTAGGTGTATGCACAGCAATAGGCACTTGAGAAATTGTAGCTGTTTGTGCTTTTGTGTTTGTGATTGTGCAACCTTTTGACAGCCGTAGTGTCTGAACTGTGATGAACGGGTTAAATTTGTAAATTCACTAATTTTGGAAATGACGCATTTTGGAATTTCGCACTTGCCCACTCCTTGGTTGAAACTCATTGTGTAGATATAAGGTAGGTAGTGTTAATAAGAGGACCCATCCTGTACATTTATACTGTGGGTTCCGTTGTGCACTGTGCACTCTACCTCGGGAGTTACATTTGATACACCTTATGGCAGCCATGATTTTATCAATGAAATTACGAAAAGTTGATTCCAATCACCTGTGTGTGATTTTAATTTATTATGTCAGTTAGGTTCGTGTCGTTAAGCGGAAATGCAGTCAATTACATGTATTTGAGTGTGACATATTCATCTTTCCTTGGTAATAAATCAAACATTTCTGGGCTACATTATTACACTGCCAAAAAATTGCACATAATCTATGCCTTTCGTCTTTTATTTGTAATTTTAACTATCCGATATAAATTTGTATGATATTCTCAAAGCGGATTCAAGATATTTTACGCAAATATCCTACGAAATTTAGTGCCTCAAGTAAGAAGCCTGGATACCACATGTGAATTAAACGTTACTCCTGTGTCCTGAGTTTTTTAGGCCGTAATTAATTGCCTTGATTGA